TAACAGTACCCTTCTGTGTGGGTCGGGGTAAGTAACATCAAACCATTTGACATCGCTAAGCTTAATGTACTGAGCAAACCAAGCACGGGACGGGCTTTTTACTCATCTCATCTCACACATCTCCATACAATCACCTGAGACCAGCCCCAGTTACCACCCCCATGCGCCGGCAGAGTTAAGTCCAGGGGACCGCCTAACTGCCTCCCGCCTGCCCCACCGTAGGGCTGTTCAGTGGCAGCTCAATTCCCACGTGGAACAGCTGTAACGCTACAGCCTAGTGCCAATAGCTCCTGCAGTGCCAGAAGCATATAGCCACAGCCAAACTCCGCACACCAGGTTGCTGACACAGGGAACAACTTCACGCTAGTGCTGACTACGCCACTGAAGAGTGATACCAGGAGAGCTGAAGCCATGGTGGTCCAGTCGTGGTGCAGAGGCAGAAAGTGTGACCTTACTGCAGTTCACTTTCAGCTTGTCTGGACAAAAGAGTTCCTGAAGAGGCATTCCTCAGTGTCAGAACAGATGCATCACTTGTTGGATGAGATTTCACGGAAACTGCAAGGACTTGGGGAATCTCAGGTCAAACAGTATAATCCAGAGAAGATGATCCAGACAAGTCAAAGAGGCATGTTCTGCTGGGGCCTGTTTGGCTGGTGCACTTTGAAGGGCATTACCCAGAAGTTTTCAAAGCACAAAGGCTGGAAGCCGGGTTTTGGTTCTCATCAGAGTTTCTGTACATGAGAGAGATGCCACCTCTCCCAAATGGCTTGACAATGGTGTGCTCTTGAAGAGTCCTAGCTACACATCTAGCTTTACACACCTTAAGGTTAAAACATGAGAGTAGGTTGCAACTGAGGAACTTTTAGCACCGCCAATCAAGTACAGGAAACTTCCAGTTAAAATGTAAATAGCAGGGAGGTTAGGTGGAAGAAAAGAGGTGGATGCACAGATTAGCAAATTTACTTTCCTTCCTATCAGTGCTGGTTCTCTAGAGTATATGGGTCAGAAAACAGTACTGGACACGCTTACTGTGACAGTGCAGAATTTGGTATCAAGACCTGACCACAAAGCAGGTGGCACAAAGCAGTCAGAGTAACAGTCAAGTAACTCTGTTGGAGCTAAAATCCAGGGAAAAAAGCCAACAGCTCTGGTGTTTGTTCCCAAGATATAGAAAAGCTATACAATGAAAAAACCAATTCCTCATGCGATGGCAACATGGCACAAATGAGAAAAGGCCCATCTTTGAGCTAGTTGTTGATACTGGTGAGTGACTGCAGAGCAGCAGATGGGATAGAAATCTAGCCAGGTTCTGTTTTGCTGAGTAGGAAAAGAATTTGCATTTTCTACTGAGTCTCTGCTGCCTGCTGAGGAGGAAAGATGGTGGTCTCAGAAAGTCCTCCAAAAATTCAGAGTGCTAACTCTAAGTCTGTCTCTGGCTTTGCCAGAATGTAGAAATAAAGGTTAACTTCTTTGCTGCCTAACCATGGAGATTAAAAAAAAAAAAAAAAAAAAAAAAGAAGATAGCACATCTGCTTCAGTAACTCAGGAATCTAGATTTTTCCCATATGGTTTAAACTGCTGGCAAAGTAAGTAACTGACCAAATAGAACTAAACTTTGAAGCAAGCCATGTTCTCTAGGTCTCTGATATTTGTTAGATATCCTTCTGCAGCACTTTTAGCATTCCACCTATGGTCAGACTTACACCTCATCATCATTTGAGGCACTTGGCTCTAGCTATATCACAATCTTCACATTGCTTATTGCTTTACATGAAGAGTTCTGTCAGGTTGTAAACAAAGCAATAGCAGGGAAACCTGTTGCATATACTGCTGCAGATTATTCCCATGTCTTCAGGCATTGCTTAAGGAATTCAGTCAGACCTGAATCAGACTACACCCACAGTGAAAAAAATATTCCCAAATCATCCAGAATAATAAACTCTTGCAGACACAAATAACAGTGCTAATATGGGAATATACTGATATATCATTTTCTACTCATGAACTCAAAATAACCATTGAGAAAATAGTTCATATTTCTTAAGTTTACCCAGAAATTGGACACTTTCTGTGGGTTAAGACTACATCAATGGGACTGCAATTTCTGTAAGTAGCAAGTTGCTAAAACAGTGCTTTTCTCAATGGCTAATTGTGCTGCGAATGAAATGGACGTAAAAAAAAAAAAAAAAAAAAAGCTTATTTCTTGTGAAAAAATGCATGTTTCTGAACAGTTGTCATGGTAAGCACGGTGTGTTGGTTTATATTGTTGTGCTTATGTTTATGCTGCTATACATATGTGGGAGTACCAAGAGACAATATCCTTTTGGTCTGCTGTTTGGATCAATATGCCAACTCAGCAGTTATTTTAAGTTTTGAGCCGTCTACCCCAAAATATGTTTGCTTACCCCATGCCCATGCAAGTAGGTAGACACCTCATTTTACTTAACAGTTTCGCTTCTGGTCTTAAAAAGTGTGTTTGGACGTTAAGTCATGTGAGCAAGAACAGACAGCATCCTCTAGACCTGTTGCAATCGAATGACACATAATTGTCATCTTTGGCGATAGTCCAAATAAACCATTATAAAATATGGCCTACCCACAAAGAAAACCTTGGAGATCTTTGAAAATTCAATTTGCATTAACACCAAGAAATTCTTTGCACACTCTAGTGTATACACAGAATCAAATACTTTCTTACTCTAAAACACAGGCTGAATTTCAGTCTGTGTCATGGATTTGTGTCACAGCTGACCTGCTAAAGCTGTTACAGAATATGATGAGGTCTGTTAAGAAACCAGATGGAAACACAAATTTCACCATTTCTCTGGGTTATGCATCCTGACTTATCTTGACTCATACTTCTGAAAAATGCCTGTTTACGTCAGATAAAGACTGATTTTTCTATTTATAATTCTGTCTCAGCATGAACCAGTTGATCTTGAACACTAATTTCTACTTAAACTATTTATAGTTTTATCAACAGGTTAAGTCTAACCTGTCAAGTTAAACTCCAGATTGTTCTGTTCAAGACAAAGGCTCACACATTTAAGATTTTAACTACATCTTTGTTTCAGTCAGGATGTAAGAAAGCCTGATCACTGCATATGCAAGTTGTGTACCTGACCAAACCAGTGCTACTGGAGCAAGCAATTAGAATAAACACCATATTCTTCTTTTGCCATGTTCCTTTTAAAAAGCTTCTAAAACCAGAAAATTTTCTATCAAGATGAAAAATTCATATAGGTGAATTTTCAGTTTCATCAAGCATGGCATTTTCACATTTTCCCTTTTCTTAAGGCTTCTAGGTACCATTTAGTCTTCATCTCACTAAGGAATCTTAACTTCCAAAGCCCTGGATCCTACTCAAAAATATGAAAAACTTCCCTTCAAACCCCTCCTGTATTCTTCTAGGAAATCCTGATCTAAACTAGGAGTCTTCAAACCCAAAACTATTTGTGAAGTTGCTGGAAGCTAAGGTATAGAAGTTTAGCTAGCCTGTTGAAAACTCTTGCGCAACTTTACAGTTATCTCCTCCACTCAGAGTGACAAAGAGCATCTTACAGTCACTACAACAACAGTGTGGAAGAAGAAAACTCATTTCTTGCTAAGTGACAGAAGAGATGGTGCTTTCCAGCTGGAGGATGACAACATTCGTAGTGAAAGCCCATTCTGCCCAGGCTCTAGTGAATAAAATTGATAAGGTTTAAAAAAAAAAAAAAGCATTAATAGATACTTAATTGCTGAAATAGCAATATCATCTTAGGAAAAGGAATAAAGAAGTGATGCAATAATCTCACTAAGCAGTAGTTCAAACAAAGAACACTTTTTGAAAGACAATTTGAAGAATGAAGCCAAAGGTAATAGCTGTGCAGTCTAAGCTATGAAGTATACTCTAAGTCAACTTCTGCTAAAAAGCTGTTATCAGCATCATAAAGGTCAGAAAAAAACCCCCAAAACTCAAGTCATCAACAAGATAGCTAGAAATACAACTTGTTATAGCTGAGAAAAAGAGCCAGGCAGGCAAAAAGTTTAGCAACTACAAAGATTAAATTAGCTATTTATAAATACAGTAGCAATTAGAAACTTAGAAATAAATCTGAAGTAGTGTAGACCAGCATACTGTTAAGCACATGCAGGAAGATGTCTGAGTGTCTGTAGAATAAGTTAATTGAAATACATCCAACACTATCATTGTTTTTTTATTAGCAGTGGTAATAAAAAAACAATGGGGAAGGTAAACAAGGAATAATTAAAGTGTTAATACTTCACGGCTAAATATTTAAGCCCATTCATGAATATGAAGAAGTATTTAGGCTGCAAGTGTTGTATTGTGGTAAAGTTTCTAGAAAGACAATATTGCATAGAACAATTCTGCAGTTACAAGGAAATGGAAAAAGTACGTTCAAAATAATCAGCAAGCTGAGTCAGTGGTGAGTGTGTTATAGGTAGATTAAGGCAAATCACATCCAAATATGGATTAATGAATCTTTATTAAGGTAAGAGAGTAAATGCAGCGCTGGGGTGGCCGAGGAGTCGCAGCTCCGTCCAGGCTCACCAAATTGTTTAAGTTTCAAACCCCCTTTTATCCACACAGCTGCCGGTTTCAACACCTTCGGCACGCCTCCTGGCTTCTTCTACAATCTTATCTTCTTCTTTCTTCAGTCCTGTGGTCACGTATGTACGTACACCTTGTCCTTCAAGTCTGGGCCAATTTGCAGCTCCTTTGTCTTTTATGGCCCAGTGGTTTCAGTTCCTCTCCTATCTCAAGGACAAGGGATACCAGAGATGGCCCACCCTGTTTTTTCTCATTCCATTGCAAAGGAGTTACCACCCTTTGATATGGACCATCGGGTGAGCATCCCAAGGAGGGGGGGCTGTTAGACTGGTGTTTCCTCAGATCAATTCCCCCCTTTTCTTTTCCCAGTAAAGTCTTTTACTTTTCTTAAAATTTGGATCATTGTACTAATAATAGCTTTAGCCTAAGAAGTAATTGTTTAGTTACTTTTAGCGAAAGCAAAATTCTTCTATTATTTATCACAAGTGGAGCTTCAACTGGCAAAATACCCTTTTTGTACAGCTTTGTACCATGATTCTCATTTTAAGAACAGCGCTAGATGTTCTGCTGAAAGAGAAATAACTATTCAGTAACATTTAGTATAACTACACTTTAATGAAACATTGAAGTTCTTCCTAAAGTGTTACAAAGATATAATACATTTGTAATATAAGTGTAAAGACTTGACATTGAAAGACTTAATAAAAAATACAGACTAAAAGTTACAGCAAAAAAAAGTCATTACAATTACACTAGTGGATTTTTTTTTTTTTTAGGAAAACCAGCAGTATTGACTGGCACATACAGACAAAATAGAACACAGTGAGAGTTTCTTCCTCCGTACAGTATTCAATCAAGTGGCACTGCAACAAACATTAATTTCATGCATAAGTGCAGAGAGGATTTTAAACTCTGCATATAGTACTAATTTCAGCTTTTGTACAGCCCCATTTGCAACACATTCCTGCCAAACCCAGAGATTCACGTTTTCTTCTGGGATAGCTGGCCCAAAGATAACTGTTTGATCCCATGGGGTTTGCAACTCCTGTTCCTCCACTGTCAGCAGGGGAGCTGACAGCTTCTTCAACCTGGCGAACAAGTTCTTTGAAGTTGTCTGCCACAGGTACATATTCGTTATAGTCATTTAAACTATACAGATCCTTAAATGTCTCCCATCCTAGAAATGGGCTGCTTCTCTGCAGCTGCTCCACTTCAGGACCCAAATTTGGTTGCACCTTGAAGTTTCCCAGTAGTTTGTTACTTGCTGTTCGTGCAGAATCTGTTTAAAGAGAAGACTAAGTTCAGGTTGTACGAGGATCAAAAGGAGCACGTAGCTCTAAGAAGTAGCAATAAAAACCTTTCAGTCAGTAACAAGCAAAGCACTGTTATTTAAAACTGTCAGTACTGCAGTTTCCACTCCACCATACAGCTTACTTCTAGGGGAATCTTTATGTTTTAAAGGCTATGCTGCCTGTTAGACGTGGAGAGTACACAGCTACAACCGTGACTGAGGTATAGACACCCTATCACAACTGCAGCATTACTGATCTAGAAGTCTCGATATTTCTGTAGAAACAAAATTTTGTTGCAAAGACATATACCCAGAAACCACAGATCTACGTCACATGGCTCATGAATTGTATTACATCACTCTTCTCCCACGCATAATCACACAAAGTACCATCATATGAAGAACAAATGTAAGGAGGACTAAGTATCAGACTAAATAAGCAAATATTGTCCATAAACTGCTTCTGATAGATGGTATTTTTCTATGGCTATTTTCAGCCAATGATTTCCACTAATTTCTTAAGACATAGCAGAGGCTTGCAGAGTTTACTTAGAAACATGCTTTGTCTCACTGACTGAAGTGTTCTCAAAAATCCAGCTCTACTGCGTTTCACCTCATACGGCTTTTCTTAGTTTTACTTCTGAAAGACGTGGCATTGCTTACTTCAGCTGAAGAAAAGCAACTCCTTCAATTCTTAAAAAAAAATTCCAACGTGTTTGTCATGTGGTCTTGATGCTGTTAATAGTTTTTTTTTTTTATTGTTTCAGAAAGCTGAACTTGAGAACATCCAGTGAATGTTATATTTATCTTAATATGTCTAATTAATATATGTAAGCTAGCTTTCAGATAGAACAGCTTCCCAAATATGTACAAAAATAAAAGTGGTTGTAGCTACTTTACTAATTAGACAGTAACTGCTATTTAGCCGTCTTTTGAGTCAGGGAAGACTTTTAGACAGCGTGCAGCACAGTGGGGACTCCTAGTGACTGATGCTCTCTGGCACCACTGTTAATAAAAACAAAGTTTGCTGGGAAAGAACACAATCCCAGCAGAGGCTGCAGATATGTAATTTGTTGTAATCACAAAGGTAACTTTTATCTTCCACTCAATCTATGGAGGGGAGGAGAAAGAAAAAAAAGGCAAAAAACTCCCAAGAAATCCAGAATACTGGCTTCATTAACTGCCCGAGGTTCAATTATTATTTCATTAACAGCATGTTTAAGCAAGAAAAAAAAAGCAGCTCTTGCATTGCACATTTTAGCCATAATTCCATCTTTTGTCCTTGTTAAAAATGTTATTTTCACTATGCAAAGTATCAACATAAATGAGAATCATCACGTAAAATTACTGCTACACTACTGCAGTTTAAGAACACAGCCCAGAAAACATCTGCTTACACTTTCTTAAAATATCGGACTTGGAACAGGCGACAGTAAAATTATCTGAGGAATATTTTACCCATTAACAGCAAATATCCCTAAAGCAGTTCTTGCTATTTAAGTTGTAACCTGAAGCACCAGCGTCCCATCCATCCTCCAACGTGCTGACACTTTTGTACAGAGCAGCACAAGCGAGCGATAAAAAGCCTAAACGGTTCCACATGCTGTAATGCCCCTATCATGCACGGCCGAGGAGGACGAGGAGCACAGCTTTAAAGCGCCTGGCAGGGAGGGAAAACCGAAGCCGGTCGGCAGAGCCCGAAGTTACAGAGCTTTGGGGAAGGAGCGAAGCCATAGCAACAGGCACTTCCCTACCGCTTCCACGGGTACATCACACCTCCCCGCACGCCTCAGAAGGAAAAAGCGTAATTTATCGCTTCTGGGGGCTTTTAAATGGAAAGAGTTGGGTGAGGCTCGGCCGCCAGCAGGGCTGCTCGGCGCGGTGCGGAGCAATCCGTGCCTCCGGGCCGACCGACAACTTCGCCGGCTGTCCCGGCTAATCGCGCCCCAGCGACTGCCGGCCTCGCCCCGCCCGCTCCTCCGACACTCACCGGCCGCGGGCGCCGGCTCCATCGCCAGCAGGGAGAGCCGCTTCCAGCGGGACCCGCCGCAGGTGAAGATGACGGCGCGGATGAACTCCCGGCCGCACAGCTTCACCCCGTACCCGTCCCCCTCGCCGGCGGGCAGCACGGCGGCGGCCGCCGCGCCGGGGGCTCCGGGCTGACCCGGCGGCGGTGCCGCGCACAGCAGTGCCGCTGCGGCGCAGAGGAGTCGCAGCCTGGCCCCCATGGCGCCACCGGCCTCCCAACCGCCCGGCCTCGCGCCCAACCGCCGCCGCGCCGCGTGCCGCCCGCGCTGCCGCCGCCGCCGCCGCCCGCCTCCCGCCCTTTTATGGGCTGAGGGCGGCGCCGCGTCACCACCGCCGGCCCGGCCCCCGCCCCGGCCCCGCCGCGGGGGGAGCCGCGGGAGGAGCCGCCGCTGCCCCCGGCCCGCCGGCGGGCGCTGCCTGTGCCCTCGGGCAGGACTCCCCGCTCCTTCCGCCCCCTGTGGGGCTCCTCACGCCTCGGTGGAGGCGCGCCCCACCCTCGGCCTCCCTCCTCCGGCTCTCGGCTCCCCACCGACTCCGAGACACGCTCCGTGCCCTCTGCCCGGCGCTCCGTCTCAGCTTTCCCTGGTTGTGGTCAAGTGCCCGTCGCGAATGCCCTCTCAAATGACTCTTAAAATGTGGAAAACTTCTGCTCATCTCTTTTTTCCCTTGCAGGTCTTGAATCTGCATAACTACTCCTGTATCCTAAACATGTTGGCTGAAGTGCAAAGGCAGAAGCAAGTTAAGTGAAATACACGTGCTTCTGCAGAACTACTTAAGCTGTGGACACCTGAGGTGGGATTTAAAAGCCTGAATTCCTCCCAGGTTTGCCGTTCTTGACACCCATGTTTGGTGGCAGCTGTAGGCACCCAGGCGTCCGCGACACCTCGGCTCCAACACACACGTCCTGGGGATGCGGGTCTCCGTGCCTGTGTTTCACCAGAAGCCTCCAGCAGGCTCCCGCTGCCAAGGGTGGCATTCTTCAGCCTCACTGAGCAGAACTATGTGCCCTGTGAAAGTAAACTTTGCTCTTTCTTTTTTTTCTTTTTTTTTTTTTGTTTGTTTGTTTTTTTTTTTTTTTTTTTTTTGTTTGTTTCCTGCACAATATGTCCCCTTTAAAAACAGTCACACTGTAGAAAACCAGAAAAGTTAATCTCTGTAAAAATACAACGACGCTCTTTGTAGATCCTCTTGTGTGAGGGCTATGCTGTCTATCCCTTGAATACTGTTAGTGCATAGAGAAAAACTCTCAAAAGTCAATCTAGAAAGAGAGCATAAAGACATGCATCTTCGTGTACAAAGTGTGTGCGAAGTGTAGTGTACACAGGTGTGCGGGCAGAGAAGACGTAAACTCCAGTCACTTTTTCAAGGAGGACTTCGGTGTTTTACACTGAGCTGGATCTAGAAAAAGGCCATGGAGAGGTAGAATAGTGAGCAACCTACAATGTTGTCAGTACCTGGACTTTCTTTTTGGTCCGGTCTTAAATGTTTTAGACAGTGGCACCGGTTCAACAGTAGGCACTATCATCCAGGCTATTACTAGGATGCAATCTGCAGAAGTGGAGGCTGCCAATAAGAAATTCCCAAAGAACAAAACCTCAATCTGTTTCTCCCTCAGAGTCTTAACCGCCATTCTGCTAGAGACAAGTTGTGCAATGGTAATCAGAACTTGCATTTTTAAAGAGAGCAGCAGTTTGATATTGTTGGTGTCATGGACTTTTTCTGAAAATACCTATTTTATCAGGTGAGCTTACTTGTGGATTGTAACTAGTGTTCTAGGCAAGGGAGTAGTTTTCAGTGACTGGAAAGCTATGGGCTTGTGCAAGAGCACTACCCAGACTTTCAGGGCAGTAAAGAAGGTGCCTACTGAGTCAGGCCATGACTGACCAGGTGACTCACTTAGCTTGTAAACGAATATAATTTATTTTATATCGTACTTTTATGTCCATGTCTAATATTGGATCCAGTCTTTCAAAGCAGCAAAATGTCAGATATGTCTTTCTCAGAGTTTTTACCAGGAAATTTCGAGAGAGTCCCCAAACAGCTGGCAGATTGGTCAATCTAGCTTGGAAGCTCCTGACTCTCCACATGGTTTAGTTTCAAATTTAACTGGACCATGACTTACTGTGGCACCACATCTAATTCTCCCTAAGCAAAGGCAGGCATTATGATGGCCACCTTTAGGGTTTTTTTGTAAGAACCTTGTTTTTGCAACTGTCTGAAGCACACAACCTCTGACTGCAGCTGCTAAGTGCAAGCACTGAAGAGACTGGAAAACAAACAGTTCAAAACATTTTTTCTGACCTCACCTGCTTCTTCATCAGAGCTACTGAATATGAAAGACACTACTTTCTGTGCTTTCCATCATGCTTGTTGGTAGGTGATAGAGCACAAGTTGACAAAGAGGCCTTGGAGGGATTGTCTTTCCAAGACATAATTCCTTGGGGGAGCCTGCACTGCAGGACTCATCATTCTTTTTGTTGAAGAGCATAGGCGACAAATGCTCTCCTGCTAGGATTAAAGACTGCAACAACTGGCAGTGAGTTAATGAGTTTTATTAAGGATCATATCTGAATGAGCTGGCAGTAGTTTGACATTGCTTAATGTTACTATGCTTAATGCAGTTTCACTAGTGGGGTATATTGCTGCGTATTTTTCCTCCAGCCATATTTTAACAACATTGCCTTTACATCTAAGGCTTTTGACTGAATCTACTGTGATTTGAATAGCAGGTTATAAAGAAACTTACTATGTTAGTCATATAACTTTAAATCATACAGGATTTTATACAGAGAAACGTAATTGTCAATCTCTCGATAATTTGTCATGGATTTAAATCAAATCAGAGGGTAGGCTTGTTTATCTGTTTATCATAGCTAGAAAAACTACTTTTATTCAAAACTATTACATGCAGAAGAAAATAAATAATACAACCAATCTGAAGTAACTATCCACGTTCTTACTGTTTGTATTATAAAGAAGTACAGAGCAGCAGAGCAAAGAAATGAAATTCCATTTGTGATCTGTAGGATCTTGCAAGATAGGTACATCTAGTGTATTGTCTCAATGCAAGTATTTTGTCTTTTTTCTCACCCTTGCACTAAATTTTGAATCCGTTGGCCAATAGCAATTGAAGTTTATAGAGGGTAAAGGATGTTTCATGAAAATCATAACTTTTACCAGTATCTTGATAGCCTTGAATACCTTGAATGAAAGGCTTATTCACATGTAAAATGTCAGACAGTCTACACAGTAGATCAGACTAGGACCAAAATGCACAGACTTCATTAGTCTTTTTTCAGAGACTTGATTTCAAATTCATGCAGTTCAATGCTGCAATAACTACTTAGTTTTTGAAAGATGTCCAAACATGTACTTAAAATATTTCTTAAGTTTGTTTAGTACCAGAGAGGATTCTGCAAGAAATGTGAAGTAGCACTGCACGCATATAACTGATGACTAAGTACCCGTGTTATCCAGTTATCTTCATCAGATGATCCTGGGTCTTAGAAAGCAGTTCACCTTCAAGAAAGCTAATAGATAAAAAACTAAGAAATCGCAACCATCTTTATATAATGAATTCCAAGAATGATTACCCAATTAAATAATAATGCAGAAATTATTTCATTTGTATATGTCCATGTAAGTGCCTTCCCCTTCTACTTTTAAGAGCAGAGATATGCAATTGTAGTTGTAACTTAAAAATGTTTAGGAAGGGGCTGTAAGAATCAACTTTCCCCTATTGTAAGGAAGGGTTCTGAAAAGTTAAATCATCCATCCAAGGAATGAAGGGGCCCAAACTGGACCCCCCCCAAAGTGACTTTGCTTGTTTCTCAACAATAATTATGTATCCTATCAGAACAACATTAATAAGAGAAGTATGGGGCAAGCAGTTGTGGCTCACAAGTAGCATGTATTTTCTTGGATTCTAAATGAGACATACTCCTAGTGAGAACACAAAGAGTTTAATTTTGACATCCTAATCATGACTGACTTCTCACTTTCCTGGAAGAATCCTGCTCCAAGTGACACTGATTCAGGTTACGTGGCTACCAGACATTACGACCAAAAAACCCAACAAGATTAAACTGGTAAGAGTAATACCCTCAGGTCAGAGCAAGCTCCCCCTGCAGTTATTCTCCTTCTCTTACCCAGTGATTCATGAAAGCACAGACAGTTGCCGTGGTATATTAAAGTTTTGCAGCTGAAGCCAGCTGAGCATCAATGACAGAAGGGTCAGAAGGGAGCAGGATGTTTTAGGTGTTTTATTTATTTGTTTATAGTATGATGATTATGGGCAACTGTGCTGTAAACATCTACTACCCTGAAGCAGACTCTGTCAAAGGTAGGATCTGCTTTCTTCCATTATTCTCTGAAGGAAATTGTACAGTTCAGCCACTCTGTAGCTGGATACCTCTGTGACAGGTATGACCAGGCTTGGCACATGCAAGCATTTTGATTAATACACTGGCCGTAGACTAAGCATCTTGAGAACAAAAGCATATATTTATCAAGAAAAAAAGCAAAGTTAACAATGAAAAATAAAGGCAGTGAAGGTGACTAACCCTTAACTTCTTGATGATCTTTGCCACATTCTATGTAGGCTGTTTAAATCCGTTTCTGGGCTTGGCATTAGACTGTCTTGCTCAGAGCCTGATGCTTTTCTCTTATAAATCTGGTAACTTTCACTTATAGTCACTGTGTAACACTGAATTAAACTTGCCCCATTTCCATCACTTTTCAGTGTGGAATCTTGGAATGGTTTAACATTATTGATTTAAGTTTAACCTTTGGGAAGAAAAAAAATAATTCAAATTTATCTAGGATGGAGTAATAGGCAGATATCCTGTTATCTCCTAAAACTGATGTCTGGGTCATTATTTTGCTTACCCTTCTTGCTTCCTTTAACACCACCTTTTGATCCAACACCATGGCCATGGCCAGCAATCTATCACAAACACACAGATATTAATTCCTAATTCACAGTGGATAGGAATAGGGTATCTCCTAATTTTCTAGGATTCATAAGTAAAACTCCTGTATGGATTGTTAAAACTGCTCTCTTGTAAAAATGTCTTTCATAGGATTAAAAAGTGGGTGGTTAAAAGGCCCAGGTAGAGACATACAATTACAAAACCAAATGGGTTTAATTATTTTTCTTTCTGGGAAGAAAGAGTATCAATACATAAAAGATCAAAACATAAAAGGCTGTTACAACTTCTTTAAAATTAAAGCAAGGTGGACTTCAGAACTTGGAGGAAAGGTAGTAGATTATCTGTTATTCAAAGCAAGGCAAGTAAGCAGGGATATGCATGTCCTAAGAGTAGTACATAATATAGCAGCAAGTGGTGAGGGATTGTTATAGGACAGGCAGAAAACATGAGGTGGCCTTGGGCTGCATTTTGTGCTCACAGGACATGGGTAGCACCACAGGCTGAGTTGAGGCATGCCTCCCAAGACAGTTAAAATCACTGCCTTAAACCCTAAACAACTGAAGTGTGACAAAGATATTCTAACCCAACAAGTTACTATAACACATTTTATCACTCTGCACATTAAAATGCATCACATTTTAAATCTGTTACATATGCGTTGTTAATATGCAGATGACAGAACCAATTACAGAAGTGATTGAAGGCAGAAGTGAATGCACTTTCAGAAATCAGTCTTACACAGGTATATCGGAAGCTTTCGTTTTATTATATATTCACCTGTCTTGCTCTAACTGTATTCTAGTTTTAGTCAAGTATTCTTCAAAAATAGATTGGGGGCGTTATATCCAGCTGGAATTTAATTTTTAACTCAACAAACTGTCAGTACAGACTCAGGCTTAATTTATTATTGGATGCTTTTTGAGCTTTTGTTTTTCATTCCACAATTAGACTAATGCTAGAAGAGTTTCCATCCAAAACACAAAGTATTCTGTATTTAAACAAGATTTCCAGTACAGAGAGACGCATTTTTTTTCCCCCGAGTATAGCATCAGAACACTAAAATATACTAAAATTATATTCTCAGTATATAACATGCTAAAGTAAAGGCATGCAAAAAATCCCTCAGTTTTTCAGTACTTGTAAGGCCCCTTGGATCTACCCATTACAAAAACTTACATTAATAAATTTGCTTGCTGTTAGCCTGAGTTAATATTCATCTCTAGTAATGAAACTGATTTCATGTAAACAAATTATCCTGAGTTTCAGAATGTCAAACAAGCATGAAAAAGATTCAGGAAATAGCTACATAATTTGTTTCCTCTTTTTGAGAAATTATCTCTGCTCATACTTTAATACAGTTTCTCCTAAGAGTAAAACACAGTTAGCAAGTGACGTGTTTGCTTCTGAACCTACTTCTGATAAAAGCTGTTTATCCCAAAATTTGAAACAGCTGATGAGTTTACTGCCTAAAGAACAGCAAATAAAAAATGTTTTATTTTTCAAAGGAGTTGGCTGTCTATTGCTGACTTCAAATTGAGCTGTGCATCTTTAAATATATTTGAAAACTATGACCGTATTTATACAAATTTGTAACTACCAATTAACTTATTTTTGTTGATTATAGTGAGTTTTGTCAGTACCAGACATATTTACTACAGGTTAAAGTTATTTTCAGACTCTAAAGACAGTGGAAATTCAAGATTTCATTCTAAATGAGAAGAATATACTATATCAACAATGGATATTTTTCAAGAGAAACATACAACATGAAAATGATTGCTTTAGAAAGGACTGATTTTAAGAAAAATTTAATTATATTTTGATTTTACAAAAGCTCATAGTTTCCACAAGATTTTAATGATTCATTTATGTCCAAAACCAGTACTACAATCACATTTCAGATATTAAGCTTTAACATCATCTTCCTATTTTTCTATGAATAACTTGCTCTGAGATTTTCTGATTTTTTCCAGGTCTTCATAAGTGAGTGGTCCTTTTGGCAATTCTAGCAAAATGCTCTGTGTGTCCAATATATTCTCTGCTTCACCTGAAAAAAATAAAGTAAATAAATTTCCTCACCCTTACTGTGAGAAAACAAAGTAAGTGGGAAAAAAAAAAAAAAAAAAAAAAGAGCTGATACCAATGTAGCATTAAAGTGGTCTTTAAGGAATTTTGGACTGGTGGGATAACTGCACACAGAAGTGTTTAGTCTGAACTGAGTATCTGCCTCAGTCTGCATTTCTTTGAAAGAACTTCAACCAGAATAATCTATTGTGCTGCTGTTGTTGCCGTTTCTGTTGGCGCCTTTCTCCTAAAAACTACACTGAGTTAGAGAAATGTTTTGTTTAGAGATTTATTATACGTGTGCTTTGGAATGGAGGCATGAGGTACAGCAAGGACCTAACATCACCATGTACTTTGTACCAACTCCATACCGTATTTGACCAATTAGGAGTCTGAGAAGAGGGTGGATCAGACATACACATAAGAGCATACATAATCTTTAACAACCAAATTCCCTGTACACAGTATTTTAGATGTGTCATATTTGGGCACAATTTTTCCTTCTTGCCTCAGGACTAGGCCAAAATATGTCAGGCTACAGGCAGAAAGTGGGTAGCACAGGACTTACAGAAGTGTTGGTCAAAGCACACTGCTCACAAAAAGATCTGCTAAGAGAGTTATCTAAACATGCAGCCTTAACAGCATAGCAGGAAAAAGTCTCAGGGTGCAGAATGCTCTGGGTAAGGCTGGAATGAAAACATCTAGGTCACAGAATCCAAAAAACAAAGATATGGATTGAACATCATACATAAATTGTGGTGATCTGATTGTGATATCAGAAAGGATGAATATTAGGCAAAGAATGTTTTTGTTTTGGCTGATGTCATTTGGTACACTGCTAACAATTTGTTTACCTATGCCTTAACTTCTAGATTGAGGATCATTATGGCAGTGATTTGAAGCTGTATTTTATGTGCAATAAACCTCACTGATTATTGTAATGTAGTCAAGATTTTGGTAATTCTTTAGAACAGGTCTGAATGCTGAAATCTCCAACTGCAATTCTGGTAATATTACAGTGCTTGGGACCTCCACACATCAGTAATATCCAACAGGACGACACTGCTTAGCACTCCCTGTAACTGGTAATAACACAATGGCAGTCAGTTGCATATAGCATCTGATTAAGGAATAGCAAGAGATTTTAAGGGACAGCGATGTTATAGTCAAATCTCTATGCCTGTCACTCACATGAACTAGAACAGATTGCCCAGTCATCATCCTCCTCACATGGCTCAGGATATAAGGAGTGAGCTATCTAAATCTTGGAAAAGGTATCTAGAGTTTCATTAGTGGAGAAGTTCTGTGCAGTTGGAGGCTGGCTATATAACCCTGCCACTCCTCTAGTAATTTGTCTGAAAGACACCAGCAATATGTAGCTGGACTAAGAGGAAAAGCAGAATAGCAAGGCCAAGAATAGCAGGTCCATGAATGCATCTTAGTGTCCTCAGCCTTTCAGAGAAGATAGTGCACCTGAGGACTGTTCTGTAACACTTCCATCCACAAGAGATTCAGTTCTGATATGCAGCCCTGGCACATTTATGGCTTTTCAACAGCGCAAACAGAACTCAAAACATGTATGTCCTCAGTTTTTGCTTTAATGAGCCCAAGCTACATAGCAGCAGAAAACCCTCTGATTTCATTGTGGGAGAATAAGCAAGTCATGAGAAGACGTTTGGACAAATAGGCTAGAGACAGAAGAAAAACTTAACTGCAACCAAGAACAGAGACAAAATGCCTGGTAAAATAGAAACAGAGAAACCTTCCAGGAGTAAAAACTGACTCCAAAATATGAAGGACAGCAGATACAGGGTCATTTGATCAAGGTCATTCAGATACAAGGAAGATTGTGCAGCACAGAAATAATTGCAGTTTAGCTTAGGAGAGGGAATTGGCCCTGAGGCTGAAGATAGACATATCCTGGAGGAAAGAGACCAGTTAAAGAGGGAACAATAAAGGGAATGGTGTATATATTCATTATTACACAACACAGATGAAGCATGGAATGCAGCAATGGAATACATGGGCAAAAAGAGCAGTAGTTGAGAAAGTAGTATGGGAGTGGACACAGGGATCTGACGAGTAATAAGAACAAGCACTGTGGCTGCATGTCAGTTGCATCATAAAACCTTCTCTTCAACTATATTTTAAACTTTTAATAAAAATGAACTCCTGAACCTGATTTCCAAATAATTATGAACCTTCTTCTGATTTCCAACCCAGATTCATTCAGGCTAGTCCACCTCCTTTTACCCTAGTGCTGATATTAGTAATTAGTTTAATTTTCTTCTCTTACTTTTGTTTATCCTATCCTGTAAGTAGGATCTGTAGACCCAAATCTCTCATGTATTTTTACAAGGCTAAAAAAGCTAATCACTTTATTTTCTCTCACAAGGCAACTCTGCATTTCCTAATAAATTTAACTCTCCATTAATTCTAGAGTCCTTATACAGAAGTGATCCAAATTACATCTAAATTTCCAAGGATGGTATTACTGCTTTTTCTGCATCAATACCTTCCTATCTGTACTTCCTATTTGTACTAAGGTCATGGAATATGCATTGTGAGAGATCCTCAAAAGCCATCTGGACATCTTCCTGGGAAACCGGCTGTAGGTGATCCTGCTTGAGCAGGGGGGTTGGATCAGACAACCTCCAGAGGTCTCTTACAACCTCAACCATGCTGTGATACTAGGTAACCTCACTTGATGTTTCTAGACTTTGCTTGACTCTCATAATTTCACCTGGATTATACTCATTCTGTGATCACCTACTACATTCAGGTTTTCCCCTTTTTTTATCATTTCCAGCTGGTGAGCTCTGATGGTAGAAATCCCTATTAGTCTCTAGCTTTTCGCTGGACTTCTTATCAAATTGTATGCTATTTTACTATCTCAGTTCTTCAAGTCTTCAGTTCTTCTTGTACTATAGTTTATTTCTTCCCTGTTGATGACACCAATCAAGTTTGTCATCCGCAGATTTGATTAGTATAACCAGCCCATAATTTAAAATGCAAAACAAAAGCAGATCTAGACCAAATCTTGAGGAATACTGCTAATAACCCTGCTAAAACCTAAACTTCCTTTTTAAGCACAAACCTTTGACATCTTGTCTTTACTCCAGTGCTTACCTGTCTACTAATTTCCATGTCTTTCATGCTAACTTAATCTTCATGTGATACCACACTATATGTTTTCATGACTTTATAGTAGATCTACCACATTTCTTTTGGAAAAGAGAAATCATTTTCCTGGAAAAGACACAGTTAGTTTGACATATTTCATTTTATCTTATTGTCCATTTAGCTCTAAAGCTGCTTTTCTCCAAAACCTTTTCACAAGCCTTACATACTGCTGAAGTTACCCTAGTGTTCCTGAAGTTATAAAGATGACTTTTCCTATTTGCAAAGCAGTAAGATACCACATTGCCCCTCTTCAACCTATATAGGATCACAGTAAACATACTCTTATCATGGGGTTTGCATTATGATATGCTCACTCCTTCAGAATTCTGGAATGAAAATGACCTCATTAAAAAAACCCCAACATATTAACAAATCCTAGATTCCAAGTGCTCCTTCTGCACTGCATGTACTGATTTCCTTTTCAACATTCTGATGTCCAAGAGTCACCCTGTTTTTCTCCCTGTGTTGAGCTGACTCTTCATATTAAAATCCAAAGAAATGTATTTAGTAGGGTTTAGGAAATGTTCGCAGATATAGATTGCTGCATCACCTAAATATATTTGCACCTGTATGCAGCAGGAAATACCTGGGAGTTTGATTAATTGAATCTATCATTATTTTCAGTGAAGTACACACAGTTAGGAAACCTAGCTCTTAGATCTGGAGGCTAAGACCAAGAGCTGAAACAAATTTTTGTTTTGTTTCTACATGCTTGTGTCAGTATCAGACAGGAAAATCAAGCTAGTTAACTAAGATGATTTGTGAAGATGACAAGCCATGGACCAATGCTGTCTTCACTTACAGGAAACACTGTCATAGCATGTCTCCTTCACTAGGAATCAAAGCTAACATAAATGTAGCTCCATAATCCTCAACACCCACCACTTAATCAGATCTGCCACTGGCAACTATGAGGCAAGACCTCACTTTCTGGGACTCACTTTTATTTTTTTCATCTTAGCAGGGCACTGTGGCAAGATGACCAGCTGATGACTGTGATTGGTCACAATTCCTGTCTGTATCCCTTTATGTGCTCCTATCATCCCCTACCCCTTGCCAAAACAGCAGTATCAGAGTAGAATATTGAAGGAAATCACCAGATCTGTAATTTCTCTCAAATATGCAATGCTTACTTCAGCTGCATTTATAGCCTTAGAATTCACACTTTTTGAAACAAGAGAGAAGAAATTAACAATCTTAATTGGAGGGAAAGGCTGTAAAAGTAGAGTGAGTACTCTTGACTGAGAAAGCATCTGATTGTAGCAGAGAATAAAAGAAATGAAAGGGTAAGATTTTTGTCCAAAAAAAGCGAAAATCTGTAGCAAGTTTTCTCCCAGCCATCCTAAGAAGAACAGGTTATCTGAAATATTAAGCTTGGTTCTATGTGTGAACCAGACAGACATATACACATACCTTTTATCCTTTGCAACAGTGTCCCATAGCCCATATCATACTGATAGGCAAATATAAAGCTTAAGGGAACTATTGGCAGTAAAACTCCTGGGTTCTTCTTCCTTATTGCTCTGTTTAAAATAAATTAAAAAAAAAAATTATTTAGGACATTCAGCACATCAGTACTGTTTAGGTTGACCTTGACTGTCTAGGACTTGTGTGTCCTTCTACAATCTCTAATCAAAGAACAAGTCTTTATTTCCTCAGAAGCATTAGTCTTCTGGTTGCTTTCTTGCTCAAATAGCAACCCAAGGATATTTTAAAAAATGCTTCAAGTGAGTTTTGAATATATCTAACAAAAATGGGATTATCTAACTCGTGTCATGCATGTGCACATGCATATATTTATCCAGCCACATGCAACATGTAGCAATCAAGATACTATGTTCAATTCCAAATGCATCTGCGTCCACAGAGAACACGTAATGCATAAGGTTCATTTAATCTGTACTATGTACACAAAATCACAAATATTTCCTACATTCCCTCTAATCATGTTATAGCACAAGTAAAACATGCTACCAAACAAAAGGCCTATACGGCAAGTTCTTCCCCATGCAATACAGCTCTATTAGCCAGGGTTTTTTCCCACTGGGTTAGTTTTTTTATCAAAATTTTAAGTGAGCAGATTTCAGAATATGTCCACTTGTTCACTGACATATTAAAAACCCCAGATGATGGAGGATTTGTTGCTTGCTGATAGTTCATTAAATCACAATACAGTCAGGAAAATTGCATGGCTTTTAAACAATCCCTCCTGTTCCACACAGAACTTTTATTTTACATTGAACTTTTGGTACCTCAGCTGCATCATTTTATTGTCAGCTCACATGTCTCTGCTTTTATCTAAGTCTGCAGTACAGAAATAACCAAAACACATCCGGAAGCAGACAGAAATCAGAGTCACTTTGTCATCTGATCAGCCTCTGAGCAGTTGCTGGATGACAATAACTACCTGCTATAATGCAAAAGGAAGATCCAGCAATATAGAAATATAAGTGTAATATTTTTGCTAGGAAATAAACTTCATACCCAGCTGTTAAACCTACAGCAGCAAGTCCAAAAAAAGTCCCAAAATATTTGAGAAATTCCCGTGTCCAAGCAATCTGCAAGGCTGTTTGTCTCTCTCTCATCTGGTTTTGCATCAGTAGTTGCCTTTCCAGCTAAAGGAGAGAGAGAGATTAAAAGAAATTAAGTAATTCATTTATGTTAAAGATTGACTCAATCTCTCATTGGTCCATAAATCCAAAACACTGAGGTTTCTTTTTGTTATTTTACTTCAGTCATTCATAGCTTTTGATTAGGAATGGTCTTTAGTAATAACTCAGAATAGTTTATACTAGTTTATAGTTTGTAAGAAAGCATTAGGTCAATTAGCAAATGTTTTAATGCAGAATCTTTCTAATGCTGCTTCTCCAGGTCAAGAAAACAAAAATACCAGTGTTAGGTTCCAAGAGCTCCCCAAATATCAGCAGCACTCCCTGGGTTCTCTGACCTTTGCCTTTCCATGGTGATCCAAAGGGTATCATCTAGCTGCTTTCCAATTTATTCTGTTTGATTTTAATTTCGCTCATATTATCTTTAGAGTAAGTCTTGACACCTCTTTGAACTATGAGGATTTCTCCATGATGCATGATAAACCTAAACACTTTTGAAACACCATAGTTTACAAATACAGAAAAACCACTGTGAAGATATCAGATCTTTTAAAGATACTGGAATACATATCAAAAGTCCATGAGAAAATAATTCTACAGCTAAAATTAAAAACAATACTGCAAAAAGTACAACCTAGACTGCATATTCACACATTAAAGTAGTACTTTCTATGGTGCATAACAAAAAAAAAGGAGACTACTAGATTTTTTTTTTCAATTACATGACACATCTAAACCTACTGCTACGTTTCCATTAAAGTAAACTTAGTATTTCTTGTAAGTTCCTCTCTACTGTACAGAACATCAAAAAGAATAATGACCTTTCCTCCTTAGAGTGATGCAAAAAGTAAGAATTGTGCCAAAACCAAGCAGTCTGAAACCAGAGTACAGAAGTTAGTTGACACAGAAAAAAGTCTGCTTCTTCCCATTAATGTTTGTAACTCATTTCTTGGGAAAAAAACAGAGTACCTGAGTTCGTATGTCTAGCCTGGCTAACGAAGTTGGATAAAAAGTCCAACAAGGTACAGAAAACAGAATACCAGCTGCTTAAAAAAGTATATTCTAGAAAAGAAAGAACAAAGTGAATTCAGAAAGTTCTCTTCTCATGCATCTATAAAAGTAATTAAATCTGTTCTTTTCTCCTGCTTTCTAATTCAAGAATAATTTAAGGGATTTGTAATTAGTTAAGGTTTCCACCCACTTATTCATCTCCATTACTATTGATTTAGCCTGAACAGAACAATTTCTGTTAAATTCTTACTAATTATTTCTTCAGACTATGTTGATCTTGCTGTCTTATTTACAAGCTCATTCAGTACCTAGATAGGGAGAATTAATTTTTTAGACAGCATAATAAAAAAAGGACAGATCTAATTACATATAATTGTACACAGTAGGAAAAACAACATTCACTGTAGTCTCACAATACTGTTTCATCTGTTTCTCTTTCCTCAAGACTTATATTGCAATTGTTCTCACAAAAAATATCAACAGGCTCTACCTTCCTGATATCCATAATTTTCAGATCACTTTTTTCAGAAGAAGTAATTATATAATGGCTGACAAACCACTTAATAAAATATCAGAATAATTAGATTTTATTTTGTCATCTATGAGATATTTGGAAATTCTAAAGTAAACTAGCACACCGCCCGTTAATTATCCCCATTGTGGCCTCCAATATTCTAAGCCTGGTAAATTGCTAAGGGTTGACGTGACAAGATAAAATAATGACACGTAATATCAATTTAATGACCTCTATTTTCCCCTTCCATTTGATTACGTGTGTAGTTTGCACAAGTGTGAAAAGTATTAAGGGATCCTTTGTTTGCCTGTCAGCACAGATACGGAGCCTATGCTTCCAAGATACACAGCATTACCCTAAATGAGCTTCAATTTGAAGAAGTACATGGGGAGGAAGTGGGACAAGGATATGAAATATGGGTCTTGCTAAAAGGAAGCTTAATGAAGAAGAAGAAAAACAGACAGTTTAATATGCACAGAGCATCAAAAGACGTAAGCATGGAATAAAAAGAAAGCTGTAAGTTTAAAACTACAAGAGTAAACTAAAGGATCCTGACAGTTTCTTTAAAAACAAAGAACCAAACAAAAGAAAAAAACCCCTCACACAAGTTCTACTTTGATAGCTCTTTAAAACCCAAGTACTGAAAGATAAAAATAAATTCCCAAGTCACAGAGACTAAGGTCAAACAAACACCTTTCTGTAGGAGCCAGTCATATCAAATTTCAGAAGCCCAAGGATATTTTCATGTATATCTAAAAGTAATTTATATAAATAACTTAGTATAAATGAAAACAACTTGTTTTCTATAATATAAACAGCAGCCAGATAACATAATCAAACAACTTTCCATATTCTTTTCTAACCAGAAGAATTTTTTTTTCTACTTAAAAAAACTCAATCCTCAACATTTTACATGGTGCCCCATCCAAAAATAAGGCTGGGGGGGGGGGGGGGTTGGGGGGGAGAGGAGAGAGGGAAACTCGTAGAAAAATGCTTATCATTCCTTTCCTTTGAGCAACCTTCTTCAATGTGTATGTAAAATCTTACCTAGATGAAACACAATACTGTATTTAAATTAATTGCCTAAAAAAAGATGTGTTGGAGGGAAGCTTTAGACTGATGAATCTTGAGATGAGCATTTTATGTGTACATGGGGAAATGTGGCATAGCCAGGAGAAGGTTTCAGAGGAATCTTGATGCACAGAAGGCAGTAAAAAGTAGATCTAGTGACATTTAGCTAAATTAATAATTTAAATCTTGCTACTACGTAAGTTGCATGTTACAATGAACAGTTTACTATAAAAGATCTATTTTGTCCATAAACTTAGTGTAGCATCCAGAAAGTACTGAGATGTTTTTAGGGATGCTATGTAACCTACAGTACTGATGCAGAGGTTTGTTTTTAAATAAATTTTTATTTGCTCGTAACTTAAATGGAGAAAATATAATAACATACAAACATCACTAAATGTGCTCCAAAATCCCTCTATACCTATGCAATTTTATGCCAAATCCAGGAATACCAGTCCTAATCACCAGAAATGCCCTTTGTTCTGTCATCCTTTATTTTGAAAAAAATCTTACTTCTTACTCTCCATTTCGGAGGTCAGGTTTGTTACTTGGCATAGTTTCATCCTGCCAAAAGACTATATTGCTGCAGCTGTAGAACTGCAACAGGAATCTGCGTAACAAAGAGATTTAGTCAAAGTGTTCCAGGGCAATTCTGCACTGACTTCACTGAATTTCAAGCTTTCCTTAAGTAAAAGGGAAAACTGAGCAACAATTAAGCCAAGGCTGCCCAGAACATACTATTCCATCCCTCAGCTTAAACTTAGTGGAATGACTGTAGAAAAAACAGTTTGGAGTATGCCTGAGCTCTCTCCAGAGAGCACCACAGCCCCTGCGCTGCTGAATGATGTGTATCAGTGCTGCCATCACCTTCACCCATGGGCTCCAGCAACTGCGTTCAGCACAGCAGGAACACCCTTTGCGCGTTCTCTGACAGAGCAGATACAAAGCAGAGCGCCTACCTACCCTGTGTCATCAAAGACTGCTTTAGCATGTCCAGACCAGACACATGATCAGCTAAATAGGTTTATGAGCAGTGTTAGACACTAAAATAGCATATGCATTTAAATGAATTTTGGATGCTCTAAGCAGCAAAATTAAGCACCTATACGGGCGCTCAAGCAACTCCCACGTACCCCAATCTTTCAAAATTTAAAAAAATTCAGAGGCAATATCTATGTGCTTATCCATTTAGCTTGCCAATATGAATTGAACATCTTGAGTTCTGACAGTTTTGAATGACCAGTATACACTGCTACTCTACCTTTACGCCTGCAAACAACTAGTGGTAGATCATAAGGCAAAACTATTACACTAAGATTATGTTAACCTTAAGCAAGTCAGAATTTGAAAGCAGACCTATATAGAGGACTCAGGAGTCCAGAAGAAAAGGTGATTTCGAATTAGATGAAAGATAGAAAACCAAATCATGTTTGACTGCAGTTTGAATCAATATCCCATTTTCAGCTGTTAATTTCTTAGTAATTGTGTCTTATTGTCCTCCACATGTGTCCTATTGAAAATGCCAGCCACACTGGGATGGTGAAAGGGTGGAGAAGACTTTTGACCTATTAACATGCAGATTTTATGACAAATGCCAAGTTCTGTTCCCTTAGGACACGATGTTTAAGATGACTTCTTTTCCGATTATAACAGAATATAACAGTAAGTATTCACTTTACTGCAAACCGTAACTTCACATGTAGAACTTCACAGGTAATAAGATGAAAAAATGTGTACTATTCAAACTTAGCAGAGGTGTGCTGCAATTTATTTAGAATAATTCACCAATGGGAGAAGTTGGTTATTGAGGAAACAAGCCACAGGTGCACATCATACACGAGGTGAACAACAATTCACCATTCAAGTGCCATGTCTTAGGGAAGAAATCCTATTTAATTTTAAATACTTAAGCCTCACATCTATATAGCTGTAAAAACTTCAGTAGGGACTATTTACATGCCTATGCTTGTATAAAAGCTATAGGTAAAGAGTCTCAGGTGCAGATTTGCAATGGAAGGAAGGGAGAGGCTGTAGTTTTCCCAGCCAGGTTGCTGTGCATGGCACAAGAGCTGAAGCAGTGATGTGGATGCATGGGTACACATTCAGGTACACTTTTCTATTGCTGTTAAGAAGTCACATCCTACAACAATTAGACCATGTTTTAGAGACACGTATACAAGTACAATTAATATCCTCTTCTTAAAAAAAACTGTATAAATTTCTGCAAGCTTAATTCCATAATGAGCAAATTTTCTTAAATTACAGTAACAACTTCTTTACTGGTCATAAATATTGACCATGTAATTTTAAAATTTAAGTCCGTATTCCAAAATAAATTTGTACTAGTAGCAAGTAACATTTTATAATTTATAACACTCTCAAGAGGACCCAGTTAGAAATAACTTTCCCA